CGATATAGGACTCGTTTTACTGTGGATATAAATACCTTTGTACCTGTTTCCTCCAGCATCTTCACAAGGTCCTTTGCTGTTGTTCTGGGATTGATTTGCACTTTTCGCACCACAATACGTTCATCTCTAGGAGACAGAACGCGTCTCCTTCCTGAGCGGTATGATGGCTGCGTGGTCCCATGGTGTTTATACTTGCATACTAATGTTTGTACAGATGAACATGGTACCTTCAGGCATTTGAAAATTGCTCCCAAGGATGAACCAGACTTGTGGAGGTCTACACATTTTTTTCTGAGGTCTTGGCTGATTTCTTTTGATTTTCACATGATATCAAGCAAAGAGGCACTGAGTTTGAAGGTAGGCCTTGAAATACATCCACAGGTACACCTCCAATTGACTCAAATTATGTCAATTAGCCTATCAGAAGCTTCTAAAGCCATGACATCATATTCTGGAATTTCCCAGGCTGTTTAAAGGCACAGTCAACTTAGTGTATGTAAACTTCTGACACACTGAAATTGTGATACAGTGGATTATAAGTGATATAATCTTTCTGTAACAATTGTTGGAAAAATTACTTGTGTCGTGCACAAAGTAGATGTCCTAACCGACTTGCCAAAACTATAGTTTGTTAACAAGAAATTTGTGGAGTGGTTGAAAAACGACTTTTAATGACTCCAACCTAAGTGTATGTAAACTTTTGACTTCAACTGTATGTTCAATATATTCACAGTCTTACAGAAGAAAAAAAAAAAAAAAAAAATCTATATTGATGATATCATGGTGTCAATTACAGCTGCTTTTAAGACAATGTTTCAACCATTTGTGGCAGGGGGAATGTTGAAAGCCTGAGCTATAGCAGCACGGGCATTGAGAGCATTGGAAGTGGTTTGCATCATGTCAGTGCTCATAAAAGATGGAGATTGCTTGTGTGATTGCTTGTGTGAGTTCCTGAAAAAGACATGGGCGCAATGTCGTTGGTATTCATTTTCAATTGAAAGTGGGGACTATTTTGTCCGTGTTTGTGGTTGGAGTATGACCCGACCTGACTATTACCCTGATATGAAACTTGCAACAATGCCAGATCTGTCAGGGTATCTGATGCGGATGTGGTGTGGAATCAAGTGCAGGACACAGGAGCTAAGTCAAACCAGCCTTTACTTGAAAAGACAAAATAACAAACGGGTCTAACCAACCCGGAGGCGAACAATACGCAACAGTGCGTAAAACACAAAACCGACTGCGCACGAAAACAACAGTGCAACGGTACACGCTAGTGACTGGCAAAAAGTGAACAGCACCAACAGACAGGTGAAACCAATTACACACAACACATGACAGAAACAACGAGAACTTATAGGACACATAATCAACACTAAACATGAACAGGTGTACCAAACAGACCAAACCAAACAAACATCGAAAACAAAGAACGGTGGCAGCTAGTACTCCGGAGACGACGACCGCCGAAGCCTGCCCGAACAAGGAGGAGGAGCAGCCTCGGCCGAAACCGTGACAAGATCACTGCTGCAAAGAGCTCATAACAGCACTTAAATTATACTCTTCAAGTCTGGCAGAACTGTGACTTTAGGCACGCACGGAAATAATAAGACAATGATATCTACTTTTATATTAAATAATTGAATCTATACTGAACAAAAATATAAACGCAACATGTAAAGTGTTGGTCCCATGTTTCATGAGCTGAAATAAAAGATCCCAGAATTTTTTATGCACACAAAAAGCTTATTTCTCTCAAATGTTGTGCACAAATTTGTTTACATCCCTGTTAGTGAGCATTTCTCCTTTGCCAACATAATCCATCCACCTGATTGTTGTGGTATGTCAAGAAGCTGATTAAACCGCATGATCATTACACAGGTGCACCTTGTGCTGGGGATAATAAAAGGCCACTCTAAAATGTGCAGTTTTGTCACAAAACACAATGCCACAGATGTCTCAAGTTTTGAGGGAGTGTGGAATTGGCATGCTGACTGCAGGAATGTCCACCAGAGCTGTTGCCATAGAATGTAATGTTAATTTCTCTACCATAAGCCGCTCCAACATAATTTTAGAGAATTTGGCTGTATGTCCAACTGGCCTCACAACCGCAGACCACGTGTAACCACGCCAGCCCAGGACTTCCACATCTGCGGTATCGTCGGACACCAGCCACCGGACTGCTGATTAAACTGAGGAGTATTTCTGTCTGTAATAAAGCCTAATGAATTTATTTCAATTCTGATTTCCTTATATGAATATAACTCAGTAAAATCGTTGAAATTGTTGCATGTTGCGTTTATATTTTTGTTCAGTATAGTTACTTACTTATTGATTGATCTGGTTCTAATACATTTATCCATGTATTAATACTGATAACAAGGGGTTTCCAATAATGGATACCTTCCAGTGTTGTAAAGTAGTTTTTTGGGGTATCTGTACTTTACTTTACTATTTATATTTTTGGCAACTTTTACTTTTACTTCACTACATTCCTAAAGAAAATTATGTACTTTTCACTCCAGACATTTTCCCTGACACCCAAAAGTACTCGTTACATTTTGAATGCTTAGCAGGACAGGGAAATGGTCCAATTCACACACTTATCAAGAGAATATCCCTGGTCATCTGCCTTTGATCTGGCAGACTCCCTAAACACAAATGCTTAGTTTGTAAATGATGTCTGAGTGTTGAAGCGTGCCCCTGGCTATCCGGAAATTAAATAAAAAATAAAACAATTGTGCCGTCTGGTTTGCTTAACATAAGGAATGTGAAATTATTTATACTTATACTTTTACTTTTGATACTTAAGTATATTTAAAACCAAATACTTTGAGACTTTCACTCAAGTAGTATTTTACCGGGTTACTTTCACATTTACTTGAGTCATTTCTATTAAGGTATCTTTGATTGGGCTCCCGAGTGGCGCAGCGGTCTAAGGCACTGCATCGCAGTGCTTGAGGTGTCACTATAGACCCCCTGGTTCGATTCCAGGCTGTATCACAACCGGCCGTGATTGGGAGCCCCAAAATTGGCCCAGCATCGTCCGGGTTTGGCCGGTGTAGGCCGTCATTGTAAATAAGAATTTGTTCTTAACTGACTTGCCTAGTTAAATAAATAAAATCATTTTACTCAAGTATGACAATTGGGTACGTTTTCCACCACTGCTACCTTGCAATAATGTCTTGCACCAACACAAACCATGTATTTGAAGCCATTACAGTTGTTCAAATATCAATACCAGACCAAAAACAGAGCCTCATATATAATCAACATAGAAACATTAGGGGAACATTAGTTCCAACAGAACACAGATGGGTATTAGATCTTTGCCCTGGCAGCGTTGGTATCAGGAACTCCTCTCCTGCCACTCCTGCCCGCCGCTCCAAAAGCACTTGGCATTACAGGATTAGAGTGTCGGCGGGACAGGTCGTGCTAGTGTTAAGGGTATTCGTTAATTCTATGTCTATGGACAATGCAGTCAATTTATGAGTAGCCGGGTTGAGAATGAGACTGAGAATGTCTCAGACCTACATCAGAGGGTTTGGGAGACATCACAGATATCATGTGCAATGGACAGCCCCTTTGTTCCCCCGTCTTTCTGTATGTGAAAGTGACTTAGATGTTATTTCTTGACTAAGAAAGATGACACATTTTCATGGACACATATTTTTCACTGTTGCGTACTCAGTGTAGTTATGTCCAGGCTCATTTCCTTCCTGACTGTGGACAATACAACTGCCACTGAGTCTCCTAAAATGGACACTGTAAACTCTGAGGGATGTCAGAGGTTACAGCCAAGCAGCAACACGCATGTTCTCCGAATCACCACTCCCATCTCAGTCCAAAAGACAATACATCCCCTCGCCATTCCAAATCTCGGTCCAAAATACATCAGAGTTGGTTTGAGGTCAATTTCGTTTCACTTCAGTCAATGTGGGAGATAATCAGGAATTGTAGAAAAAATATAAAAAATGTGATACTTTTTTAAAGAATTACCTACTGTAAAATGGAGTTGGCCCCAATCTTTAAAACACAAAGATCATCCAATGCCAAAGTGACACTACAATCAAAGTTACACACACCAAAGTTATTAGTTACACAAAATGACACTGCATTTATCAGCTGGGCTTACTTCTATCGACAGTCCTCCAACTATCCTATAATAACTTGGGGTGCACGCATTATGACAGCAAAAAAATAATAATAAGCTGTGTGATTCAGTCCTTCTTAGACCTGTAAGACTACTGCCTAGCACACCAGTGTCATCCGCACGACTCAAAAAGGCATTATCCCTCTGAGCTAAAGCCTAAACAAGGTATTAGCTCTGGAGCTAACACAACTCTTCCCGTCCAAGACAAGGTTACTCATCAAGCATAGTTTGGGGAAACCACCTCAGGTACATAATAAACACAACCATAATTAACATCACTGTCAAGGCCCACTCTCTTGTTAAAGCCCATTGGCTCTCACAGGCTGGATGGTGGTTGATAAGCCCATGGTGTCGTCTCCCTACAGCCTGAGGGCAGCTGAGTCACCATCGGTCGCCATCACTCCATCTTGCTGACTCACACCCTCAGAGCCGGGCTATCTCTGTTGACTTAGCCACACGGCGACAGGCATCACCTCAGCCACCTAAACCTTAACCTCAGGGCCCCTTCGTGACATCCTCTGGTATTGCTCAACAGCATGTACTGGATTAGAGTATACAGCATGAGGCTATGGTTCACGAGGCTATGGTTCATGAGGCTATGGTTCACGAGGCTATGGTTCACGAGGCTATGGTTGAACCGTCTACAAGTCACCGTCACACTAGCCTGGTGGTCCAGTCTGTTTGGGCTTCAGCCATGCCAAACACGATCAACAAGAGGGGAGCTGGCCACAGAACGTACAGAATGGGACCAGGCTATCATCACACTAACGCACATTCATAATCATTGGCTTTTCTTCACCGATAGCAAGAGCGATAGAAGGAGGAGAAAGAGTAGTGTCACTTACCCAGCATCACTCCCGTCCCCACATATTAAGGCATCCTTCGCTCCCTCCACTTTGTAGTAGTTTTCTGAAGAAAGAAAATAAAATAATGGATGAGGCCTGGATTCGATTCATTTGATTACAGTGATTCATTTGATTACAGTGATTCATTTGATTACAGTGATTCATTTGATTACAGCAATTTATTTGACTACAGTGATTAATTTGATTACAGTAATTAATTTAATTACAGTAATTAATTTGATTACAGTGATTCATTTGACTAACTACAGTGATTCATTTGATTACAGGGATTCATTTGATTACAGTGATTACTTTGATTACAGGGATTCATTTGATTGCAGTGATTACTTTGATTACAGGGATTCATTTGATTGCAGTGATTACTTTGATTACAGGGATTCATTTGATTGCAGTGATTACTTTGATTACAGGGATTCATTTGATTACATGGCCCTAGTATTGCTGATCCTACAAGCATTTTCATCTCAAGGTCAAAAGTATTTCAGTGGTACTCAGACCTTATGACCAGAAGCCCTGGTTGGGGAAAGAAGTTTATCGACTGTATTATATTAATCATAAGGCGCCATCATTGATTCAGTCCACCTTTAAATAACCCACTGGATGTATGATTTTAGCCATTTATCAAATTAAGAAAATGGTTTTGTTTCATGTTTCGCCCGAGCTTTAAGGGATCAATACGGAGGCCTGCCTTGGATATTTGACATTTGTGTAAGGTGATGGATAGCAGAGACTGCTTGAAGTTGAAGGGGATGGAAATGAATGAATAAATAGCAATAGCAATAACCCGGTGACTGTGTTGCTGCCGACTCCCACTAGAACACACTAAGAGATTACACGTCCAGAAGGCTCCATGTCCACTCCAATGCTCCTTCATGCTAAGTGTTCCTACATTTTATCTCCCGTCCTTTTCACAGCGTTTCAGCTTCACTGTCCCACTCTAGAGGGTTTGAGTGCCGTTAGACCACTATGGGGAGAGGGGCTGGAGAAGGGCTCGCCTGACGGGCTCTTTGGCAGGCGGCCCGAGCCCTCCGTCAGCTGTAGGCATTCCTGGTTTCAGTGTGGCCTTAAATGTTCCTCCTTTATGGACCATGGACCTCTCCAACACACATACACGCACACACACACACACACACACAAAAGCTGGACCCCAGAGCCACTTTTCAGTGACAGCTCAGAGACACTCTTCAGCGACAGCTCAGAGACACTCTTCAGCGACAGCTTTCACATTACACCACTGTACTGTGCAGATTGACTAGATGTGTATCTGAAAGATGAGTCTGACATTTTGATGAGGGTGTTTTTTTATTTTTTATTAGCTTTCCATCATTGCTGTGTTAAAGAAAAAAAGAGTAGACGCAATCTCAGGAAATGCCTTGGTTGTCTCATGTACTGTCATCTTTAAGCATCGTACAATGTGCACCCCTCTGGGTCCCCGGGGCCAGGATTGAGAAGCACAGTCTTTGAACAATGGACAAATGTCCATGACCTCTGACTCATCTACACGTATGTATCAAATCAGTATGAAAATGTATGCACTCACTAACTGTAAGTCGCTCTGGATAAGAGTGTCTGCTAAATGACTAAAATGTAAAATGTAAATCAAATCTAATCTAATTTTATTTGTCACATGTGCCGAACACAACAGGTGTAGAGACCTTACAGTGAAATGCTTACTTACAAGCCCTTAACCAACAATGCCGTTTTAAGAAAAATAAGTGTTAAGAAAGTATTTACTAAAATAAACTGAAGTAAAAAAGAAAAAATAGGAAAATAACAAATAATTAAAGAGCAACAATAAAATAACAATAGCGAGGCTTTATACAGGGGCACCGGTACAGAGTCAATGTGCTGGGGGCACCGGTTAGTCCAGGTAATTGAGGTAATATGTACATGTGGGTAGAGGCAAAGTGACCTGTAACTGTATGAAGTAATCTGAAATGGTCAATCATGAAATATGTAATAACTTGAAATATGAAGTCCGCTCACGTGACCATTCACCATTAGAGGAACAACTGTCCATTTAAACATCTGCCCCACATCAGTGTTGTGCAGCAAAAGTAAGCACGCCATAATCTGTGTCGGTGAGTGTGGACCCACCCTAGTAGTGCAATCGCTGCAGGGCTGTCTCTGTTACTGCCTGTTTGGATGGTACAGGAAAGAGGACACTGGAATGGAACACTGCCATGTCATGTGTGCCCATGACAAGCTTCAGAACTGCTGTGTGGGACTTTTTCTAGGCTACAAATTATCCCCTGCAAACATGTTATGTTATAGCTGCAAGTAGCGTCTTGTCGACATCACTGTCACACAACAACTGTGAGACTCACCCAAAGCTAAGAGACCCACGACCAACAACGTGACCATATCAGTGCAGTTAAGAAACGTCGATCGCTACGACAGCATGTGAGCCAGACCTGGGTTTAACTAGTTGGAATCAGTCAAATACATTCACAATGTAGCCAACTGAATAGTCCCAAACGTACACACTCCGCCCATGTGGCACTACAGGCAGGTTAAAGCAAGCGCTGAGAGTATTTGAAAGATTTAAAATACTGTTTGAAACCAGGTCTATATTACAGCACGTTAATCTTATACGCTAACAGAGACAAAGTAACCATGGCTTGTACCATGGCCCATAGCTCATGGGAGAGAGAGACAAAGTAACCATGGCTTGTACCATGGCCCATAGCTCATGGGAGAGAGAGACAAAGTAACCATGGCTTGTACCATGGCCCATAGCTCATGGGAGAGAGAGAGACAAAGTAACCATGGCTTGTACCATGGCCCATAGCTCATGGGGGAGAGAGAGACAAAGTAACCATGGCTTGTGCCATGGCCCATAGCTCATGGGAGAGAGAGAGACAAAGTAACCATGGCTTGTACCATGGCCCATAGCTCATGGGAGAGAGAGAGACAAAGTAACCATGGCTTGTACCATGGCCCATAGCTCATGGGAGAGAGAGAGACAAAGTAACCATGGCTTGTACCATGGCCCATAGCTCATGGGAGAGAGAGAGACAAAGTAACCATGGCTTGTACCATGGCCCATAGCTCATGGGAGAGAGAGAGACAAAGTAACCATGGCTTGTACCATGGCCCATAGCTCATGGGGGAGAGAGAGACAAAGTAACCATGGCTTGTACCATGGCCCATAGCTCATGGGAGAGAGAGAGACAAAGTAACCATGGCTTGTACCATGGCCCATAGCTCATGGGAGAGAGAGACAAAGTAACCATGGCTTGTACCATGGCCCATAGCTCATGGGAGAGAGAGACAAAGTAACCATGGCTTGTACCATGGCCCATAGCTCATGGGAGAGAGAAACAAAGTAACCATGGCTTGTGCCATGGCCCATAGCTCATGGGAGAGAGAAACAAAGTAACCATGGCTTGTGCCATGGCCCATAGCTCATGGGAGAGAGAGACAAAGTAACCATGGCTTGTACCATGGCCCATAGCTCATGGGAGAGAGAGAGACAAAGTAACCATGGCTTGTGCCATGGCCCATAGCTCAAGGGAGAGTGAAAGAAAAAGAGAGTGTAGGTATCTCACCAGCGCAGGTCAGGAACAAAGAAGAGAAAGAACAATGAATCTAAAACCCTTTTATAAGAATCTGAGTTGTTTGGATTCAAAATCTGACTGGTTGACCAATAGTATCACTGTTGAGTTAACTTCCAATCAGACATCAGACCTACATGATGTAAATACAACAGAACCTCTTCTTCTCAGAGGTGAGACAATGGGGGTTGGAGAGATAATGAGGCGTTCCGAAGACAACACACAGGCATCCTTGCATAGAGTTGATAAGAAGAGTCACTTCGAGGGCAGTAATACTATTAAACTACTGCTGTAGCGTTGTTCATATGTTTCATATTTCGAGGATATCGTGTTACAAGTCAACAACACACATAGCCTTGAGTGAAAACTCAACGTCACAGAAACTTGAGGCAGGCCCACGCCATTACATAAGTCTAATTAGATTGTGCCAGTGGCAGGAATATAGAGTGTAGGGCGGCACTTGCCCTACACTCCCAGTCTCCTAATACTGACAAATTAACTGACTGGCTGACTGGCTGACAAACTGACTAGCTGGCTGACTGGCTGACAAACTGACTGGCTGGCTGACTGGCTGACTGGCTGATTGGCTGATTGGCTGACTGGGTGACTGGCTGACTATTTTCAGTCTCCTCAAACATAACATAACTTTGCTCTCAATAGGGTCAACCTTTTTAAATAAATGATACATTCATTAATCAATTAAACAGGCATTTAACTGATACACAGTGCTCACCTTCGTCTGCAATGAAGTGTTTGAGTGAGGGCCACGTCCGGTTGTTGCAGAAGAAGGTTGTGTTGGTGTTGAGGGTGTCGTTGACGCAGTGCGTTGTACTGCGGACGCACTTCTGCCGCAGGTTACCCATGAAGAGCTGAAGGCCGATGAGGGCGAACACACTGAGGCAGAAAACGGTTAGGATCATCACGTCCGCCAGCTTCTTCACTGACTGGATCAGTGCACCCACGATGGTCTTCAGACCTGCCCGGGGAAACAGGGGCAGAGGTCAATAGGTCAGCACGCACACACATGGACATGGAAATGGACACAGGGTAAATATATTTGGCTAGCTACCTCTGTGTAATCATAAGGAGTTGGTTTAGATCTAAAATCTGAAGTTATGTTTATTGTGTATATGTAATTTATTAACAAAACGTTTTATATTTTTTATTAAAAATTCTGGAAGCTAGTGGTCTGTTTACTTTTTACAATCACATACTGTACAGTAGTAACAGTGACTTAAGTACAGTGTATTACTATGTACAAGAAGTTATACAAATTACAACAATTGTATTAGGAACAAAACAACGACTCACTATCCATAATCATGACATGGATTAAATATACTGTACAGTAACAAATTCAGAACATCAAACCAACAAAGCCACACACACACACAAACTGAAGACACCAACACGACAGTCAAGACAAAACGAAAGCTAACGCAAACTAATTAACCACTGCAGAAAGAAACATTGTCTTGTGTTTCTTTTCGAGATATCAAAATGCACCGCAAATTCACAATGTATGGTCATTGACAACAGACACTTCCCAAATAATGAGTGAAACAATCTAATTGAACTAGTTTATGCTGGCTGGCTGGTTGACTGGCTGGCTGACTAGCTGACTGGCTGACAAACTAAATAACTGACTGACTGACAAACCAACTGACTGACTGACTGAAAAACGAACCGACTGGTTGACTGGCTGACTGGCTGACAAACTGGCTGACTGGCTGACTGACAAACTAACTGACTGGCTGACTATGGAGGCTGACTGGCTGACAAACTAACTGACTGGCTGATTGGCTGGCTGGCTGGCTGGCTGGCTGGCTGGCTGGCTGACTGGCTGGCTGACTAACTGACTGACTGGCTGACATATTTGAACTTTAACCCTGTCTCAGAGTGTGCCCAAAGCATTTCCAAGCTTTCATAGCATTCTGTTTGCTAGCTAACTATATCTCATCTGAGCCTATGCTATTATCTCACTATCCTGATTCCTATTGGATTAAAGGTAGTGTAGCTGGAGCAGGGTCAAATTGCTGTGCAGTACAGTATGAACACAAAAAGGAATTGACAGCCTCTAAGCCATCGCTTCCACCCTGGCATTTCCAGCAGACGGCGTGGGCCAAAGGAGGTCGGCCATGAAGAGCCTGACGCACCATGTCTCTGAAGAGCACCAGATAACAGGAAGTAGTGGTGGAATACCTGGGCCATGACTGATGGAAGTTAGCCCCTTCAGAGTAGATACTGGGTACCTATGGTACTGGCAATCCCTATGTGACCTAACCAGGAAAAACTCTAGGCCCTAGTTAGGCTAAAATAACAAGTAGGGTTGAGGGTTTTTCCCTTGTCAGGTCAAGTGGACATGTTACGTACTGTAGGATTACAGATGTAGGATCTTAATTTGACCAGTTTATCACAGCAGGAAAATAATCCTGCAGCAACAGAAAATGTGAATTATTGTATGGATTATAAAACATGTAATGTTCTGTAGGGGTTGATACATTTATGTTAGAGCAAATCAAGTCTGACATTTTAAAGTGGAAATTACAAACTTTAAAAGTATTTTAAAACCGCGAATACACTACAAGTTTGCATTTCCTGCTGTGCATGACATTTCCTGCAACAACAAGGTGATCAAATTAAGATCCTAAGTCATATAAGGTCCTGCTCAGAAATATACTGCACTATATGTTGCTAAGGGTACTGTACACCTGTATCATCCAAACGAGATTTAGTCCAATTTGAGTAGAGATCCATTCTGAATGGATGTCCTACTTCCTAGGGGAGCATCTGTTGTGAAGATATTATTACCATACAAAGTGGTATTTGACTATACCCATGCCTGTTTGATGTTAAACACTAAGGGTGAATGAGACCTGTTGAGCCAGGTAACGAGGTAACATGATCTTTGGGCTTAAGGCCAGATGTCATGTTGAAACTTTATTAATGGACTACATTCACTTTGTTGATGTCTATAGCATAGTGTTTGCATATAGCAGGTGGATGCATGACCATGCCTTGATAGAAACTAGATTTGTATTTTTAATAAATGATTGACATACATCAAAATTAACATCTTAATACAAAACAATTTTGAAGTTAAAACAAACTCTAGGCAAACATATTCTATAGAGTATCTAAAATGTGACAATCCTCCATTTTGAATCAGAGGTTGCCCAACCCAAAGGTCTCATTTCCTTCACCTCTTTGACATTTCCACTCACCCGTTATTTAATCAACAGAAACAAAAAGGAAATGACAAGGAACTCTGTTCCAATACCCACACTAGCAGGCCACTTTGAATGCATGCCAAATACATTGCTTCATCCTAAGTAGTGTGCTAATATGGACATATTGGAACGTAGCCGTGGTTTAGTTCTTCCAGCGGTGGGTGGTGTCTTAGTGTTTGAAACTCCCTTCTCACCTGGGATGACTGAGATAGTTTTCAGTGCTCGTAGGACTCTGAATGTCCGTAATGCTGAGACATTGCCCAGGTCCACAAATTCAGTAACATATCTGCAATAAGTGAAAGTCAAGCAGACACAATGACAAAGCACAAACGACAGGTAAAACACAACAGGTGAAGGGGCCAGGATTGGAGGAGAGGAAAGAGGGGGGAATGTGGCAACAGGTCAAGGGTCAGAGAGAGTGGCTTTGGATTGGACAGAGAGGAGGAAGAGGGGGGAGGGGCTGTACAGAACAGTAACAGTACGTGGACTGGACAATAGAAGATGCAACCCATTTTTTCGGTAACACTGCAGCAGCAGGGGAGTCTCCCTCTTACCTGGGATTACTGAAATAGTTTTCAATGCTCTGAGGACCCTGAATGTTCGAAGTGCTTGGAGATTGCCTACTTTAACAAACTCGGTTAGCAACCTGCAGGATCAAATTACAGTTATTTGGTCAAACACAAAAAAGGAAAGACAACTGTAGGCTAAGCACTGCTCACTGTGTCTTAGTGTAAAATTTCCCTGAAGAACAGGACAGAAACATCCCAGAATAGATATTTAGAGGGACCCTTTTGACCTTTATGACTGCTGTTAGTGTGTCTCCAAACCAAGAGACAGCTGAGATTCTCGAAAATGTTGGGAAAAACCAGTATGGTGCCAGTCCATGTGCTGCTTATGTGAGTTACAGTATATCAAGTCTTCTGGACATAAGTGGTTCCATTCCCTATTACATTTCTGAGGTGAGTTTCCCAAAAGCTTCATAGCTAACATGGCACGTTATTTCTCTCGGGGACCCAGGCATAGCCCACTTGTAGAACAGCAAAGTGCTTAATTTCTTGAATTCTGTAATTCAAGGGAAGGGAAAGAGGATACCTAGTCAGTGGCACAACTGGATGCATTCAACCAAAATGTGTCTTGTCTGAATCAGAGAGGTGCGGGGGGCTGCCTTAATCGACATCCACGTCATTGGCGCCCGGGGAGCAGTCGTTGTTGGGGGTTAACTGCCTTGCTTAAGGGTATGACGGTAGATTTTTCTACCTTGCTGGCTCGGGGATTCAAACCAGCGACCTTGCAGTTACTGGCCCAACGCTCTCAACAGCTAGGCTACCTGTCACCCCACAGGGGGGCGACACCCCTCCGTTTCCATGGGAACCCACGGGGTTGGGGGTGTGGACATTTATCAGCATGGTAGGGGGGGTTATCCATTTCCCCGGTCATCAGTCTGGATTTAATAAAGCCAGCAGTGGGAAGGAAGGTAGCCTGTCGTCGAAACTAGCAGGAGGGATGCGAGGGTCGGTGACTTATGTGTTCCTGTCCTGCTAAAGATCCATCTGACCCCACAGAGGCTTCCAGTTCAAGGACGACTGGCCCTCTGGAAGGAGGGGTAAATAAAACTGTAGAAGCCAAAAGAGACATCAACACTTCATCACCGTATGGGGGGATGCATGTGGGGGGGTGGGGTGGGGGGGGGGGGGGGGGGGGTGTTCAAAATAGTTGCCATAGATAAAATATGCTGTGTTTAGACCATCCACAGTAGGTCAGGAGCTAAATACATTATTCAAAAGCAACTTAAGGTACTTTCTTTACCCACACAACCAAAGCAAAATATAACGTTTGAGGATATTGGTAATTGGTCATTTAATTTAGGTTGCATTGTACAATTTTGGAAGTAAAAGTTTACTCTATTACAGTAATACAAATGTCACATTCAAATTTTGCGGAACATATATTAGTTTTACAATCATAAAGAGCAGCCCTCAATATTGAGGTCAAATATTAATTGAAGCTTTAGAGTTGAGGATCATTCATCTTATCTGAGTCGTATAACACTTCGTCAACTCAAGTTAATCTCCAATTGGATCAGTAACTAATCCCGATGTTAGTGATTTTCAGTTATTCATTAAGTAGTATGGATGCATCAAAAAGATGTAGGTCAACTTAAAACAACAGAGTTGTTTTCGTAGAACTTTACTTTCCTCCAATATTCTAGAAAAAGAGGAAGTAAGAACAGCATCCGCAAACTTTTACTTCCAGTGACATTTTTCCGTCGAACGTTAAGGGATTTGACAAAGGAGTATAGAGGAAAGATAGAAGGAAGTCAGAATACAACATGTCAGACAATAAATATTATACAACACTCTAATACACCCTTCACACTATTGTGCCAACCCAAAACGTAGTTTTGCTGCCTCAGATGTTTTCCTTTCACGTTTTCCATTCCAGCATGGTTACAACAACTGTTACAACAACGGTTACAACATTGTGGATGCATAACCAGGCCAGCACAGTACAGCTTGGCTCGGCTCATTTCGACTCATCTCAATAGTGTGAAAAGAGTATTAGAGAAGGAATAAAAAGGGCTTTGAGAGTGTAGATTCGATTGTAGGTTAGAAGGAAGGTTAGAAGGAGAGGACAGGTTAAAAGGAAGGGTTAGGGTTATGGTCACACAGTAACAGGAGAGATACAGAGAGGTCTACTGTAACAGGAGAGATACTTACGCCATGACAATCACACTGAAATCCAGCCAGTTCCAAGGGTCTCGCAGGAAGGTAAATGGACCCACACAGAATCCCCTCGCCAGAATCTTTATCAACGATTCAAACGTGTAAATGCCAGTGAAAGTGTACCTGGGTGGGTGTATGGGGGAAGGGAAGGGGGGAACAAAAAGTGAAAACATTAGCAAGCAATGGCATAAGCCCCCCCCCCCCTTCTTCCTGCACATGGTTGCCCCAACTCCAAGTGCAGTTCTAATTCAACCAAATGTCAAAAGAAGAACGAAAACAAGAAGGAAAGGGACAGACAGGTAGACATGTAGCAGCTTTAGGGAGACACAGAGACACAGGACAGAAAGAATGAGAAGCGCGTGGATAATACAGCCCAGAGGGAATGAGACAGACAGCAAGCTCTTTGACAGCAGCGCTCCTTGATGAGTTAAGCAGGTCATTAAGACAAGAATAGGCATTCAAATCCAGGATGTCACTGTGATGTATTGGTTTGACTCGGACTGACGGGAATCATTGAACTGTACTTTACATTGACAGTATAGATCAGTCCAAGTCAATACATTACAGTCACTTAATTTTAACATCGAATCAATTAAAGAGAGAGAGAGAGACACTCTTCATAGTCAGAGTCAATGGAGACTGGGATGGAGGATGCAGCATTCGGAGGAAGTGCACAGCCATATTCCTTTTAGTTTTTGTCATAGCTACTGACTCTGTTCTTCCTGTAATGTTAATGGTTAATAAGGGAGACTGTGACTGGCTGGGAGTCATTGCATGTTACAGATTGTTCCAATGAGCCCCTTTTTGAGTGAGAATATAAACTGCCTGATTTGTAGTGTTGTTGACATTGCAGATTCCATTTGCTGAAAGGCTGTCTTCATTAAAGGTAAACTTGGCAGGCTGACTCTGGCTTTAGACTCAGGGTGGTTGATTTTCATAACATAGAGGACTACTATTGGTTACATGTTTGTGGGTCAAATCCACTCTATCCATATGACAGATGCCTCTGCCTAACAGCAAATCCATAGTGTGGGATGGACTTATACTCTGAATGATTGAGAATAGAGAAGAGAGAGAGAGACATTATAAATAGATAGATACACAGACTGAATCAGTTAGACAGACAGACAGACAGACAGACAGACAGACAGACAGACAGACAGACAGACAGACAGACAGACAGACAGACAGACAGACAGACAGACAGACAGACAGACAGACAGACAGACAGACAGACAGACAGACAGACAGACAGACAGACAGACAGACAGACAGACAGACAGACAGACAGACAGACAGACAGACAGACAGACAGACAGATAGATAGATAGATAGATAGATAGATAGATAGATAGATAGATAGATAGATAGATAGATAGATAGATAGATAGATAGATAGATAGATAGATAGATAGATAGATAGATAGATAGATAGATAGATAGATAGATAGATAGATAGATAGATAGATAGATAGATAGATAGATAGATAGATATATTTTACCCAAGTTCAACTCTACTGATCCCATTTCTATAAAGATTCATCTGAATGATAATTCCCATTCCTTCATTGATTTTGCTTTCAGTTGTTTGTTTATCGTAGTGGTTGGAATATGAATCCCTTTAATACAAATTTATTAAGGCATAAACGGTATGTGTCACCCATGGTTGTTCATTCCGATGCAGCATAGCAAGAATGCAATCAGCAAATTAGCCGGGTACACTAAAATCGTGAACTTACTTGCTAATTGTGGTTGGCAAGGCAACAAACACCTGGCAAAGCGTTACATCAGGACACATAGGGCACAGAGGGTCAATACAGTCAAAGAGGGTTGAGGGAACAGAAAAGAAAGAAGAACACAGAGAGAATTCACAGAAGAAGCTAGCGTCAATGCTGAGAGACAGAGAAGATAGGAGGACAAGGTATACTTACTCTACATACTTGGCCCAATACGCTGGTTCCGACATGGCCATGAAGCAACAGTTGGTCAAAATGGTGCACATTATGAACAGACTGAATAACGTGCACGTGGTTAAGGAAAATGGTGATTCAATAACAACATATACTGTACATCACAACGCTACTATTCTAAATATAAAGACATCATGATTATGCCCTTATACCCCGTTTAGGTTTGGTTTGCCTGCTGTCATAATCACTTTCAATGAGCAGAGTAAAGAGAAGAACAACCAAAAATGTTGCTAACGCGTTACGTTACATTGTTCATGTGTAGTAACACTGTAATAACCCCAGTAACAACATTGTTGTTACATACTATTTCAGTGTTGTAGTTGAATGGTAATGGTTTTTGATCAAAAGCTACATTGACACAGAATTATACAGTATTTGAAGCTTTGCCGCTAGGCCGAGAAACCACATCTCTGCATCTCTGTAGGTGTGTGCTGTACATTTGAATAGTTTTCAATATCTTCTATGTTTAGGAAATCAAATTACTCAAAAATATCTCAAATTATAAACATACTGTCAATAATATCTGTCAAAAATAAATGTATAATTTTCCCCACTACGTAAGAAGTATATCACTTTTAAATACTCACAGTGCATCATTCCAGTGTGTTTCAATTACAGGGGCAAAGCAGTCTGGCCTCATAGCCATACGAAACATATACAGTGAGGGAAAAAAGTATTTGATCCCCTGCTGATTTTGTACGTTTGCCCACTGACAAAGACATGATCAGTCTATCATTTTAATGGTAGGTTTATTTGAACAGTGAGAGACAGAATAACAACAACAAAAAATCCAGAAAAACGCATGTCAAATATGTTATAAATTGATTTGCATTTTAATGAGGGAAATCAGTATTTGACCCCTCTTCAAAACATGACTTAGTACTTGGTGGCAAAACCCTTGTTGGCAATCACAGACGTCAGATGTTTCTTGTAGTTGGCCACCAGGTTTGCACACATCTCAGGAGGGATTTTGTTCCACTCCTCTTTGCAGATCTTCTCCAAGTTATTAAGGTTTCGAGGCTGACGTTTGGCAACTCGAACATTCAGCTCCCTCCACAGATTTTCTATGGGATTAAGGTCTGGAGACTGGCTAGGTCACTCCAGGACCTTAATGTGCTTCTTTTTGAGCCACTCCTTTGTTGCCTTGGCCGTGTGTTTTGGGTCATTGTCATGCTGGAATACCCATCCACGACCCATTTTCAATGCCCTGGCTGAGGGAAGGAGGTTCTCACCCAAGATTTGACAGTACATGGCCCCGTCCATCGTCCCTTTGATGCGGTGAAGTTGTCCTGTCCCCTTAGCAGAAAAACACCCCCAAAGCATAATGTTTCCACCTCCATGTTTGACGGTGGGGATGGTGTTCTTGGGGTCATAGGCAGCATTCCTCCTCCTCCAAACACGGCGAGTTGAGTTGATGCCAAAGAGCTCAATTTTGGTCTCATCTGACCACAACACTTTCACCCAGTTCTCCTCTGAATCATTCAGATGTTAATTGACAAACTTCAGACGGCCCTGTATGTGTGCTTTCTTGAGCAGGGGGACCTTGCGGGCGCTGCAGGATTTCAGTCCTTCACGGCGTAGTGTGTTACCAATTGTTTTCTTGGTGACTATGGTCCCAGCTGCCTTGAGATCATTGACAAGATTCTCCCGTGTAGTTCTGGGCTGATTCCTCACCGTTCTCATGATCATTGCAACTCCACGAGGTGAGATCTTGCATGGAGCCCCAGGCCGAGCGAGATTGACAGTGCTTTTGTGTTTCTTCCATTTGCGAATAATCGCACCAACTGTTGTCACCTTCTCACCAAGCTGCTTGGCGATGGTCTTGTAGCCCATTCCAGCCTTGTGTAGGTCTACAATCTTGTCCCTGACATCCTTGGAGAGCTCTTTGGTCTTGGCCATGGTGGAGAGTTTGGAATCTGATTGATTGCTTGCTTCTGTGGATAGGTGTCTTTTATACAGGTAACAAACTGAGATTAGGAGCACTCCCTTTAAGTGTGTGCTCCTAATCTCAGCTCGTTACCTGTATAAAAGACACCTGGGAACCAGAAATCTTTCTGATTGAGAGGGGGTCAAATACTTATTTCCCTCATTAAAATGCAAATCAATTTATAACATTGTTGACATGCGTTTTTCTGGATTTTTTTTCTTGTTATTCTGTCTCTCACTGTTCAAATAAACTTACCATTAAAATTATAGACTGATCATTTCTTTGTCAGTGGGCAAACGTACAAAATCAGCAGGGGATCAAATAATTTTTTCCCTCACTGTATATACGTGTTTCTGAGCACCTCCCAGACATATGATATGTACTAATGGACTAGGTACTTTAGACAGAAACAAAAGTAGGGAGGTTGGTCGGGGAGGATTGGTGGGTGGGTGTAATCCGTGACCATCTAGCAATCCAAAGGTTAAATGTTCGGGAGCGTCGGAGACAACTGTAGCATTTTAGCTAACCCTTCCCCTAAACTTTATTCTAAATTTGACCTAATTCACCTAACCTTTTTACTTAAATTATCCTAAACTTTGTTGTTAGTTCACCTAAACACCAACATCAATTCTCCCCATAGGTCTTCTTTGTTGTTACATCGCAACAAGCAACCTGGTCTCAGAGAAAGATGTATAATACTACAGTTATTTCGGAAAGTTTTCAGATTTTGTTACGTTATAATGTCTTTTTTTTTTTTTTTTTTTGTCAATCTACATACAATACTCCATAATGGCAAAGCAAAAACAGGTTTTTAGAAATGTTTGCATATTTGTTAAGAATAAAAACGGAAATATTACATTTACATAAGTATTCAGACCCTTTACTCAGTACTTTGTTGAAGCACCTTTGGCAGCGATTACAGCCTCAAGTCTTCTTGGGTATGACGCTATAAGCTTGGGCACACCTGTATTTGGGGAGTTTCTCCCATTCTTCCCTGCATATCCTCTCAAGATCTGTCAGGTCGGATGGGGAGCATTGCTGCATAGCTATTTTCAGGTCTCTCCAGAGATGTTAGATCGGGTTCATGTCCGGGCTCTGGCTGGGCCACTCAAGGACATTCAGAGACTTGTTCCGAAGCCACTCCTGCGTTGTCTTGGCTGTGTGCTTAGGGTTGTTGTTCTGTTGGAAGGTGAACCTTCGCCCTAGACTGAGGTCCTGAGCGCTCTGGAGGAGGTTTTCATCAAGGATCTCTCTGTACTTTGCTCCATTCATCTTTCCCTCAATCCTGACTAGTCTCCCAGTCTCTGCCACTGAAAAACATCCCCACAGCAAGATGCTGCCACCACCATGCTTCACAGTAGGGATGGTGTCAGGTTTCCTCCAGATGTGACGCTTGGCATTCAGGCCAAACAGTTCAATCTTGGTTTCATCAGACCAGAGAATCTTGTTTCTCATGGTCTAAGAGTCCTTTAGGTGCCTTTTGGCAAACTCCAAGTGGGCTGTCATGTGCCTTTTACTGAGGAGTGGCTTCTGTCTGGCCACTGTACCATAAAGGCCCGATTGGTGGAGTGCTGCTGGAAGGTTCTCCCATCCACAGACGAACTCTGGAGCTCTGTCAGAGTGACCATCGGGTTCTTGGTCACTTCCCTGACCAAGGCCCTTCTTCCCCGATTGCTCAGTTTGGCCGGGCGGCCAGCTCTAGGAAGAGTCTTGGTGGTTACAAACTTCTTCCATCTAAGAATGATGGAGGCCACTGTGTTCTTGGGGACCTTCAATGCTGCACACATTTTTTGGTACCCTTTCCCAGATCTGTGCCTCGACACAATTCTGTCTCGGAGCTCTACGGACAATTCCTTCGACCTCGTGGCTTGGTTTTTGCTCTGACATGCATTGTCAAGTGTGGGACATTATATAGACAGGTGTGTGCCTTTCCAAATCATGTCCAATTGAATTTACCACAGGTGGACTCCAATCAAGTTGTAGAAACATCTCAAGGATGATCAATGGAAACAGGATGCACCTGAGCTCAAGTTTGAGTCTCATAGCAAAGGGTCTGAATACTTATGTAAATAAGATATTTCATTTTTTTATTTTTAATACATTTGCAAACATTTCTAAAAACCTGTTTTCACTTTGTCATGATGGGGTATCGTGTGTAGAGTGATGAGGAAAATAAATAATTTAATCAATTTTAGAATAAGGCTGTAACGTAACAAAATGTGGAAAAAGTCTAGGGGTCTGAATACTTTCCGAATGAACTGTATATGTCCTCCAAGATGTATGATAAGTAACATCATCCAATTTGCATGCTATTATAAAACTGGGTACAATGCATGATGCTATACGTCCTCTAATTCATATGATATTGTACGACCGCTATTCCATTTATAATGTAACCTAACGTAACGTAATACTGTACATCAAACTAAATGGAGGGAACAGTATTGAATCCTACGAATTGCCCTGAGACCAGGTTGGGCAAAGAGCAAGCACAGAACAAATATTCAAACTGTTTGCTGGGGGGGGGGGGGGGGCGAAAGCTAATTGACGCCGACAATTATACCTCAGCAGTTGGTTAGCCCTGTCCCCCATGGTGCTAATAGCATTATCCTCCCACTCCCCCCTCCCTTCTCATTTCATGGGCAAGATTAGAACGTCCACCGTGCTGTGTGGAGAGTGGTAAGAGGAACCCAAACCGCCTATTAAAAAACATATTAAATATGCAACTTAAACTCACCCAGTGAGGTGGAATTGAGAAGGTGTTTATGGAAACTAGGTGGATTGAAACTTGATTTCCTGTCCCAAATGTTCTATTTAGCCTATATTGTAGGATGTTGATTGGTTGATATGTCTGTCAAACGTTTCTTGATAGAATAACTTGTCCCTCATCTGCATTAATAGTTGGAATTGGCTTGCTGTAGACTACGCCAAAAGCACTGAGTCATTTGTATGGGAGAATGTTCTGCGTCCTTATTGTGTCTTGTATTTATACACTCTTAGACAAAAGGGTTCCAAAAGGGTTCTTCGGCTGTCCCCATAGGAAAACCCTTTTTAGTTGCAGGGAGAACCCTTTTGGGTTCCATGTAGAGCCCTCTGTGGAAAGGGTCCTACATTGTATGTGAAAGGGTTCTACCTGGAACCAAACAGGGTTCTTCAAAGGGTTCTCCTTTGGGGACAGCCGAAGAACCATTTTAAGTTCTAGATAACAATTTTTTTTCTACGAGAGCAGGTGGTTCGGAAACACCCTCAGGTGATGAATAACCTTGACTGAGACCTGAAGATTCCTCATGCTAATGCTTAGGCTTCAGCTCAGAGGGCTACCCACAGGCGACCCAGGTTTCAAACCCCTGGTTAGTTACACAATCAAATGACTCCACTGCCAAAACTGAAGTGTTAAAATAATGGCTGCCGTGTCCTTTTGCCTGAGGAAGCACTGCATTACTATGAAGTACCTCTCACGTCCCAACGGCTTGTTTAAATTCCCACACTCACAGACAGCACTTTACTCAAATGAGTCATCATAACGATAAGCACCCTGGCTCTGCAGAGGATTCCAGAGCACCCACACTATTAATGTAAAAGTCAATTTCAGCATTATGTACAAATCAGACTGCTGCCAAAAAGCTGCTAAGGCCTGGAATCCCAGGGTTTGTTTATAAACCGCTAGACAAATGTACACAGCCATTTTCTTACGCGCTAACTGGCCTGTCAAACTGCCAGTCGTCAAAGCAAATCTCGGCGGCAGCTTTAGCCTGAATTATCATCCCTTTATAGAATGCTTACTTAGGTTTTCCCGCTTTAAGGTCTCATACGGCTTCATCTACAGACTATATTCTATCTTCTCTCTCTGATGACTTCACTCACAGCTTTGTAGTGCTGTACCCCCTTCAAAGGAAGAGTGTTCTGGCTACAACCTCATTGATCCCTTGTTAATTATCAAACATGTACCCTGGCCCAAGGGCCCCTGGGTAATCAGCTACCAGTGAGGACACATGGCATATGTAACACCGCCTCAAAGTGAGCGCTTTTCACCACTCTGTCAGCTCACTCATGCACACATACAGGCAGGACACTGGCATGAACAGAGAGATAGGCACACACATAAAAGGACGAGCCGACGAAGAATCGCTGTGTGTGTTCATGTGTGTGCACAGCTCTTTGCATGTGTGTGTATGTACAGTAAATATTGTAGTATGTGATTGCTCATGCTGCCCGTCTTGAGAGCTATCCGGCAGAGCAGTCACACGGTCCTAAATCCTAACTCCTAACCCCCCCCCCCCCCCCCCCCCCCCCCCCCCCTCCCTGTCTGTCCCTACCCACACAGCACCTTTAGAGAAGACCTATTTCACCCGCTTATCGGGCTGACAAGAGCAAAGTGTCCGGCAGCGTAATATTTATCAACACCCGCAAACTCTGCTCCCGATATTTATAACAGTTCTCAGCGGAGGAAGAGAGGAGTGGGGGGGGGGGGGGGGGGGTGTAGGAGGAACCCAAACCGCCTATTAAAAAGCATATTAAATATGCAACTTAAACTCACCCAGTGAGGTGGAATTGAGAAGGTGTTTATGGAAACTAGGTGGCTTGAAACTTGATTTCCTGTCTCGAATGTTATTTTTAGCCTCTGCTCCTAAATATTGTTTTTTAATTACTCAATATCTTTTTACAAAATCTAGTCAAACTTTCTTCAGGAAGATTCAGTCACTTTCTGGCTTCTAATGGATGATGGGTAACTGTAATAGACTGTATCATTACCTAACAGTAACCATCCAGTTTATTACATAACCTAACAGTAACCATCCAGTTTATTACATAACCTAACAGTAACCATCCAGTTTATTACATAACCTAACAGTAACCATCCAGTTTATTACATAACCTAACATTAACCATCCAGTTTATTACATAACCTAACAGTAACCATCCAGTCTATTACATAACCTAACAGTAATCATCCAGTTTATTACATAACCTAACAGTAACCATCCAGTTTATTACATAACCTAACAGTAACCATCCAGTCTATTACATAACCTAACAGTAACCATCCAGTTTATTACATAACCTAACAGTAACCATCCAGTTTATTACATAACCTAACAGTAACCATCCAGTCTATTACATAACCTAACAGTAACCATCCAGTTTATTACATAACCTAACAGTTAACCATCCAGTTTATTACATAACCTAACAGTAACCATCCAGTCTATTACATAACCTAACAGTAATCATCCAGTTTATTACATAACCTAACAGTAACCATCCAGTCTATTACATAACCTAACAGTAACCATCCAGTTTATTACATAACCTAACAGTAACCATCCAGTTTATTACATAACCTAACATTAACCATCCAGTCTATTACAGATGTAGGATCTTAATTTGATCACTCTTTTGTTGGTGAGAATGTTCCTGCACAGCAGGAAATGCTAACTTGTAGTGTATTCAAAGTTTAAAAAGGCTTCTAAAGTTTGTAATTTCCACTTTAACATGTCAGACTTGATTTGCCCTAACGAAAAAATTGATTAACCCCTACAAAAAATTACCATGAATTATAATTCACATAATAATTCATATTTCCTGTTGCTGCAGGATTCTTTTCCTGCTGTTGCAAACTGGCTATAATTAAGATCCTACATCTGTACATAACCTAACAGTGATCACCATGGTTGCTGGTGGGTCTATTACTGTTTGAGTCTATGAGTCAGTGACAGCTTGAGATTAAATCTCTTTTGGAGTATGACCTCTAAAATGAGTTCAATGCACATAAAGCATGGGGCAATTCTTGAAGAGTTCCATCTGTGTTGAGACATTTTCAAGAGATACTCAAATATTCTGATTTCACAGTATAAGTCCAGTCCTGTTTAGAATCCTCTCAATCATTGATTGCGTAATAAAACACTACAAACTAATAGCGGGACTGAAGCTCCCTTTATTCACTGACGGAGAGACAGCAGGCAATACCAACGGCTCAATTCTGACCAGCTCGCCCTTCCCAGACCCTATTTCCCCCATCAGTATACAAGATCAACATGATTACAACGAGAATGACAGGATAATATATCTAGACAAACTGAACTAGAGTAGGTTCTTACAGGCTATCCCAAGGCTTTTACCTCCCTCCCAAATGTTACATCTCTGCTCATTGATTTTCATTTTGACAGAGGAGTGTTGGTGGAAATGTGAGCGTTCCACCAGAAAGGATATGAGTGAACTAAAACCTTTATTGATGCTCTTCTAACAGGATGAAAGGGGCTAAAAATATAGAGTGCAGATGTGGCACTAAATCGGAAGATGGCCTTCCCTTTGTTCAGTACTATAAAAGTCTGTGGAGAAACAGAAAGTGAGATAGGCGGAGAGAGAGGGGGAGAGAGAGGGCGATCGAAAGAGACAGAAAGATGCGTCATGGTTAAGGACAACATGGCATGGCAATAAACATGTACAATAAACTTGCAGTGACACCAACCACACACTCACATCTACACACACACACTCACATCTACACACACACACATACACACACACACATCTACACACACAGACATGCACAAATAAAAGCACTGATTACGTATTATAACGAGCAAGATGGCGCTCGTAAAAAAAAATAATAACTTCCTTTAATGCCCTGTCAATGATAAAACCTGACAGGTCTATAGAAGATGTTACCTTTAAGGGAGTCTCCTCATGGGAGATACAACACAACACAGAGATGAAGGAGATTGATATCAGCCAGTCCAGAATGTGCTGAAACTCCCTAATACTCTGTACTCTATCAACTGCTGCTCTGTGCTTAAAGGGACATTACACTCAAAGTGTGTCAGATGTTTTCAGACCTCAAAAGTAGTGTAATGTCAAGATGAGTCCACATCCCAAGCCATCGGTTGTGTCGATCCAGCTATTCACCTCAACCCCAAATGGATGTAAAACATAAGTACCAAACTTTTGAAATGATATGGTGCTTATCTTTTCAATGCATTTTGGGATGTGGCTAATCAGATGGCCTGGAACGTGGACCACTTCGGAGGTCAGAACATATCTGACAGATGCTGATTTTGGAGTATAACGTCCATTAAAATTCCAGCAGGTCTGCTGGAAGTGTGAGAACGTGTAAGAACATTACAGTGGCTGTAGTCACATCACTGGGGTGGAACATTCTGTGAAGTAGGGTTATCATTCCTCTAACATCCAGAGATAACAACAAAGATAGCCCACTCTATACTAGACTGTTGGCCATCAAAGAAGTCTGAATGCCTATCCACTCTCTCACAGTCTTTCGCTGTGGAAACCTATTGGATTATCAGATAGCGAGGCCTATGCCGTTTAAGATAAACAGTGACAGGTTGGTTTTGTTTCCCCTGGAGGAGATGTGCACCTGGGCTGATTTGGGGACGAGGAGGGAGGGGAGAGAGAGTGAGAGAGTGAAAGAGAGAAAAAGAGAGAGAACGAGAGAGCGAGGAGGGAGGGAGAGAGAGAGAGAGAGAGAGAGAGAGAGAGAGAGAGAGAGAGAGAGAGAGAGAGAGAGAGAGAGGCAGAGACATTAAGGAAGTGAGAGTGTTAGAGAGAACTATCTATCCCCAGGAGAACTATCTATACCCAGGAGAAATAGCTTTCCATACCCACCTCAGCCTCCTTCTGTGTCCTGGGCAAACCAGCCAAAGCTCCTGACTGATGAATTTTGAAAGAATACATTTCAAACTGAGCACCTTGAAACCAGTAGCCTACTATGGCCTCTGTCCTTTTCACATACTGTAACAGTACAATTTCCACTCCCTGGGCAGCTGATTCAATGTATTTTCTCAACTGCTACACACTGAAATCACAACTCATGCCACAGCAACTACAGCCATAGCTGTCAGTTCAATTAGATTTATCCACCAGCTTAAAAGCCTAATACTCACATCCTGGAATGCATGTTTAGTCCAGTAACCCCAGGGTTGCACATTTTTGTTCCAGCCCAACACTATCACACCTGATTCAACTTATCAAGTGGCTTGACAATAAGTCAAGTAAAGTTCACTCAGGATTTTTTTTTTTTTTTTTAAGCCAGTTGAGAACAAGTTCTCATTTACAACTGCGACCTGGCCAAGATAAAGCAAAGCAGTGCGATAAAAACAACAACACAGAGTTACATATGGGGTAAAAAAAACATAAAGTCAAAAAATACAACAGAAAATATATATACAGTGTGTGCAAATGTAGCAAGTTATGGAGGTAAGGCAATAAACAGGCTATAGTGCAAAATAATTACAATTAGTGTTAACACTGGAATGCTAGATGTGCAAGAGATTATGTGCAAATAGAGATACTGGGGTGCAAAAGAGCAATGTGCTAGTGTTGGGCTGGAACACAAATGTGCCACTCTGGGGGGTTTACTGTAATACGTATTGTATAGCACGTGTCAAACTCATTCTACGGAGGAGTGTCTGCGGGTTTTCGCTCCTCCCTTGTACTTGGTTGATGAATTAAGGTCACTAATAAGTAAGGAACTGCCCTCAACTGGTTTTCTAGGGCTTAATTGAAAGGAAAAACCAAAATCCAGCTGACACTAGGCCCTCCATGGAACGAGTTTGAAACCCCTGCTGTATAGAATCACCCTCTACACCAGGTCTGTTGAATGCCGGTCCTGGAGTGCCAAAACACTTCAGGTTTTTGTTTCTACCTGGTAGTTAATTGCACTCACCTGGTGTCTCAGGTCTGAATTAGTCCCTTATTAGAAGAACAGGATGAAAACCAGAAGTGTTTCGGCCCTCCAGGACCGACATTCAACAGCCCTACTCAGTGAGAGGGGCACGATCCCATTTCAAAGCAGAACTTTAAACTCTTATTAGGGAAGAAGGAGAGTAAGGGAAACAGACAGCGCTAGCAGTAGCAACACTAAACCTATCATCTGTCTGTCTGTCTGTCTGTCTGTCTGTCTGACTCATCCTTCTATTCATCAGTCTGTCTGTCTGTCTGTCTGTCTGACTGACTCATCCTTCTATTCATCAGTCAGTCAGTCAGTCAGTCTGTCTGTCTGTCTGTCTGTCTGTCTGTCTGTCTGTCTGTCTGTCTGTCTGTCTGTCTGTCTGTCTGTCTGTCTGTCTGTCTGTCTGTCTGTCTGTCTGTCTGTCTGTCTGTCTGTCTGTCTGTCTGTCTGTATGTCTGTCTGTCTGTCTGCCTGTCTGTCTGTCTGTCTAACTGATTCATCCTTCTATCCATCAGTCTGTCCTTTCCTTTACGTCCTGCCAACACACACACTTCCTGAATCAGCGGCCCAAAGGTCCAGTCACAGGAAAGGTCCAGTCACAGGGCCCAAATATGGGCATGGGAAATCATTTCAACCCTTCCTCAAAGGCTCAGCCAGTTTCAATTAGGACTGATACTGACACACACACACACACACACACACACACACACACACACACACACACACACACACACACACACACACAAACACACACACACACAAACACACACACACTATTTCATAGCATTCATATAAGGATGGTCATTGTGAATACATCAGATGTGTTTCAGAGGGGGATATTGGTTCAGATGTACAAAAGAACACTGGAAGATTCCGGTAATTAGAGTCGTACTAAAAATGACATCCTTCAAGGAGGTCAAATACACAAAGGAAAGAGATGGCAGTGATGATATAAGAAGTGACACGCATTTGGATACAGATTCAATATTCCCAGGCATCCAAGCACAGGTATAAGGACACACACACCACACACACACCCACACACCCACACACACCCTCAAGTATCCATTCCCACCCCATTCTCACTCTCTGGTTCTTGAAATAGAATGGGTCGAAGTCCTCCAGTGGGACGCCCACCAGGCCGTTGGGGATGTCGCCGAAGATGCGCGGCAGCTGTTTACCGGCCTCCAGGTCGGCCCGGGGCCTGGGCAGCTCCACATCTCCCAGGTCCTCCTGGTAGTGCTTGGTGCGCCGGGCCTCTTCTTCGGCGATCCGCTGCTCCACGGCAGCCAGGGACTCACAGGTAAACCGGTGCAAGCTGTCAGGACCCGGTGGTAGCAGCAGGGTAGCCATCTTCTCATCCTGAGTCTCCTGTCCTAGGGATGACTTCACCAGCTATCAGGGGGGAAGAAGGGGAGGGAAAGAGAGAGATAAAGAGAGAGCGAGAGAGAAAGAGAGGGATTACGGAGGGGGAGATAGAGAGAGATCAGGAGACGTAAAGGGTTAATCAACAGGGCAGTTACACAGGGGAGGGTTTGGGGGAGTTGGTGTGTATTGGGGGAGTTAGTGTGTGTGTGTTTGTGTGTTTGTGTGTGTGTTGGGGGGAGTTGGTGTGTGTGTATGTGTGTTTGTGTGTGTATTGGTGGGAGTTGGTGTGTGTGTATTGGGGGAGTTGGTGTGTGTATGTGTGTGTTTGTGTGTGCATTTATGTACTGTTTAACAGTATAATGTACAACATTGCCGCTATTATACAACGGGTGGGTCTAATCCTGAATGCTGATTGGTTAAAACCACATTCCAGCCGGTGTCTATTCCACAAGTTACCACCGGCTAAATCTATGACGTTAAAATGCCTATTTACTCTGTTCCATCTGGTGTGTGTGTATTGGGTGAGTTGGTGTATGTGTGTTTGTGTGTTTGTGTGTGTATTGGTGGGAGTTGGTGTGTGTGTGTGTGTGTGTATTGGGGTAGTTGGTGTGTGTGTGTATGTTTATTGGGGGGGAGTTGGTGTGTGTGTGTGTGTGTTTGTGTGTTTATTGGGGGTAGTTGGTGTGTGTGTGTATTGGGGTAGTTGGTGTGTGTGTATGTTTATTGGGGGGGAGTTGGTGTGTGTGTGTGTGTTTGTGTGTTTATTGGGGGTAGTTGGTGTGTGTGTGTATTGGGGTAGTTGGTGTGTGTTTATGTGTTTATGTGTGTGTGTGTATTGGGGTAGTTGGTGTGTGTTTATGTGTGTGTGTATTGGGGGGAGTTGGTGTGTGTGTGTGTGTGTATTGGGGGGAGTTTATAAACTTGATCTCCACTATAAAAAGCATCTAGACATTATCTCACATTTCTTTGAGACTAACATTTAGTTTTCAACAGTGGAGATTTGTATAAACCTTGCCGTCTGTCTCTCCAACATTTGCAACATTGTTTCATTATTCAAATTCAATATCCAGATGTCCCATAGTAATGAACGTGTCGGGATGAGACAGACAGGCAGGCAGCTTTTCTCAGCCAGTCAAAATCATGAATCAGAATCATTTGTATTGATATATACAAAGAACTATCAATAGAAAACAGGTCAACAGCTAGTTTGCTGTCTTTCCAGCTTTAGTTTGAAGTGATTGTGTTAGCTGTGTTGTTGGCTAGCTCCTCTGAACAACAGTGTCCTGACGAGAGAGAGCACATTTTCTACGCCATGTGAAATCGTGCATCATTAGCTCATTGTTATGGATGTATCCAAATAAATGTAACTAGAAAACAGCTTAAACAAACGCAAATGCAGCTACTTTGCTGTTATTCTGGCTGCACTGTTTGACATGACTGTAAGTTAGCCATAGTTGGCTAGCTAGCAAGCAAGGGATAATAACGTTGCCAGCCAGTATGGTTCGATCAGCCGACGTGGGTAGTAACTCTAGATTTATGTCGGGACAATATCTTGTGGAAGGATGAAATAGTATGAATAAATTAATAAAAAATAATGTTTTTAATGAAAATATGTAAATCATTATTTAAATATGTTGATAACCCATTGTATAAAATTGATAATGCCCTCGAAGCTGGTGTTTAGAGGATATATTGCCACGGTTTGCCACTAACAACACCCGTGCCAATATATCCTCCAAACACCGGCTTCTCAGGCATTATCACTTAAATAAATGCTCATGAAGTGTTACTGAATATTCGTCTTCAGAAATCACTTTCTGGGTCAATATACCCATTAAAATATTCCTCAAATGCAGTATTTCAATGAGAGTCAACCACACAATAAGATATTACAGTATACATGTTATACAATATCTCAGGCCTGACCTGCATTAAAGCCTATGGCTAAAGTATTCCGTCCTTCTTTGCAGCTTTATAAACGGGTTAAATCAATCTGTGTGTGACTCCATGGCCTTTGTGTGGCCCCCTGCGCCTGTATACCATGCATCTGAAGTCTCGTCTTTTATTTCCATACCATTTCAGCTATTCACCGCAACCGGGCAACCTGCACTGTATAGTCCCCTGACGCAACGGACATTGTGCAGGGCTGAACAAAACGCCAGTACGCTTGGGTTGCTTTTTCCCCCCTTGCAGCATAATCTTAACCAACGTCGCTTCTGCTTTTGCTTTGGCAGAATCCTTCCTCTCTCATGTATCCATGTTTTCACATCCAGCTCTGGTTATTCCCATGTTCCTTTAGTCTGTATAATTATCGTGGTAACCACCAGTCCAGGATTCATGTGTAACATGAATATAATCAACATGTTCAGTGCTTGTATTATAGATCTTTGGGAAAATATAAAGATAATTCAATAACTTGTTGTTGTGTATAAATAAAATATGTTACGTGTTTGATTTGCTGTGTACATCCATGGGAAAGCATGGTGGGTAATTCAATGCACACCTCTGCTTCTAATGCGTTGTTGTTATGGAGCCCAGAGATGCTATCTGAAGAGACACCTAATGGAACTAAGAGAATACGCACCGCAGACTTGGATATCCTGATAACACATCACCACTGATGCAGAATGACTCTACTGTACTGCACTATACTGCACTGAATTGCACTGTACTGTGCTGTGCTGTACTGTACATGCAACACAAGCAACACAAGCAACAAAAGAACGGCATATTAATTTTCTCCTGTCATTTGTCTATTGGTATTTGCGTAATAGGCCTACTATATAGTATAGGCGGTTTTGACCTTGTATGTGTGATTGTGTGCATGCGGTCATCACTGACTCTAACATCACAACGTGTGGCCAAGCAGACAGGAGAACCAGGCACCAAAACGGAAAAAAACAGACTGAAACAGCGAGGGACTACTTGGACTCGTCCAATAACAAACACAGAAATTTGTTTTCCATTGGAAAAACTTTTTCTTTTTAAACGTGCCCTTAAGAACACAACTCAGATAGTGTGGTGTTGTGTGTCCAAATACCGTATTGTGTTAATAACATTGATTGTCACTAGGGCCTGGTGGGCAGAGCTGTCCCCCATTCTCAACACATATCAGTGACCTGTTGACCCCCCAGCTACACGGTCATGGGTCACCACTAAGAAGGTTAGAGAGCAAGATGGCTGGTGACACACACACACACAACCTCTGTATTAATTATTTGGGAAGCTACCGCCAGGGCCCCCTAGGCCAGTCCAGATGATTGAATCCTGTAAGTATAACGCTTTGTTTACGGCATTATACAACCATCGTTATTTCTGCTCTGTAAGTGTAAAGTCTAACACCCTGTATTCTAGTGGCCTGTAGTCTAACATCCTGTAGTCTAGCACCCTGTAGTCTAGTGACCTGTAGTCTAGCACCCTGTATTCTAGTGGCCTGTAGTCTAACACCCTGTAGTCTAACACCCTGTAGTCTAGTGACCTGTAGTCTAGCACCCTGTAGTCTAACACCCTGTAGTCTAACACCCTGTAGTCTAACACCCTGTAGTCTAGCACCCTGTAGTCTAGCACCCTGTAGTCTAGCACCCTGTAGTCTAACACCCTGTAGTCTAACATCCTGTAGTCTAACATCCTGTAGTCTAGCACCCTGTAGTCTAGTGACCTGTAGTCTAACACCCTGTATTCTAGTGGCCTGTAGTCTAACACCCTGTAGTCTAACACCCTGTAGTCTAACACCCTGTAGTCTAGTGACCTGTAGTCTAGCACCCTGTAGTCTAGTGGCCTGTAGTCTAACACCCTGTAGTCTAACACCCTGTAGTCTACTGACCTGTAGTCTAACACCCTGTAGTCTAGCACCCTGTAGTCTAGTGGCCTGTAGTCTAACACCCTGTAGTCTAACACCCTGTAGTCTAGCACCCTGTAGTCTAGTGGCCTGTAGTCTAACACCCTGTAGTCTAACACCCTGTAGTCTAGCACCCTGTAGTCTAGCACCCTGTAGTCTAACACCCTGTAGTCTAGTATCCTGTAGTCTAGCACCCTGTAGTCTAACACCCTGTAGTCTAACATCCTGTAGTCTACTGACCTGTAGTCTATCACTCTGTAGTCTAGCACATTGTAGTCTAACCCACTGTAGTCTACCTGACTTTAGTCTAGTGAACTGTAGTCTAACACGCTGTAGTCTAACACCATGTAGTCTAACACCCTGTATTCCATCAGACTTTAGTTTAGTGCCCTGTATTCTAACACCATGCAGTCTAACACGCTGTAGTCTAGTGACGTGTAGTCTAGAACACTGTAGTCTAGTGGCCTGAAGTCTAGTGACATATAGTCTAGCACCCTGTAGCTTAACACACTGTAGTCTAGTGACCTGTTGTCTAGCACCCTGTAGTCTAACACCCTGTTATCTAGCGACCTGTAGTCTAACACCCTGTAGTCTAGCACCCTGTAGTCTAACACCCTGTAGTCTAGCACCCTGTAATCTAGCACCCTGTAGTCTAGCACCCTGTAGTCTAACACCCTGTAGTCTAGCACCCTGTAGTCTAACAGCCTGTAGTTTAACACCCTGTAGTCTACTGACCTGTAGTCTAGCACCCTGTAGTCTAACACCCTGTAGTCTAGCACCCTGTAGTCTAACACCCTGTAGTCTAATACACTGTAGTCTAGCACCCTGTAGTCTAGCAACATGTTGTTTAGTGACCTTTTGTCTACCACCCTGTAGTCTAGTGACCCGTAGTCTAGCAAACTGTAGTACACCCTGTAGTCTAGTGACCTGTAGTCTAGCACCCTGCAGTCTAGATTCCTGTTATCTAGCACCCTTCTGTTTAACACCCTGTAGTCTAGCACCCTGTAGTCTATTGACCTATAGTCTAGTGACCTTTACTCTAACATCCTGTAATCTAGCACCCTGTAGTCTAACACCCCGTTGTCTAGTGACCTGCACTCTAACACCCTGTAGTCTACCACACGCTGTAGTAGTCTAACAAACTATAGTCTAGCAGACTGTAGCCTAGTGACCTGTAGTCTAGTGACCTGTAGTCTAACACCATGTAGGCTAACACGCTGTAGTCTAGTGACGTGTAGTCCAGCACACTGTAGTCTAGTGGCCTGAAGTCTAGTGACATATAGTCTAGCACCCTGTAGTTTAACACACTGTAGTCTAGTGACCTGTTGTCTAGCACCCTGTAGTCTAACACCCTGTTATCTAGTGACCTGTAGTCTAACACCCTGTAGTCTACCAGCATGGAATGTAAAACCCTTTAGTCTAACACCCTGGAGTCTAGCACCCTGGAGTCTTGCACCCTGTAGTCTGCTAACCTGGAGTCTAGCACACTGTAGTGTAGCATTGTGTAGTCTTGCACACTGTGGTGTAGCACCCTGTAGTCCAGCACACTTTAGTCTAGCACCCTTTAATCTAACACTGTGGAGTCTAACACCCTGTAGTCTAGTACACTGTTGTGGAGCACCTTGCAGTCTAGCACCCTGTAGTCAAACACCCTGTAGTCTAACACCCTGTAGTCTAGCACCCTGTAGTCAAACACCCTGTAGTCTAACACCCTGTAGTCTAGCACCCTGTAGTCTAGCACCCTGTAGTCTAGCACCCTGTAGTCTAACAACCTATAGTCTGGCACACTGTAGTCCAGCACCCTGTAGTCTAGTGGCCTGTAGTCCAGCACCCTGTAGTCTAGTGGCCTGTAGTCAAACACCCTGTAGTTTAGTGACCTGTAGTCTAACACCCTGTTATGTAGCACCCTGTAGTCTAACACCCTGCAGTCTAGAATCCTGTTATCTAGCACCCTTCTGTTTAACACCCTGTAGTCTAGCACCCTGTAGTCTAACACCCATTGTCTAGTGACCTGTACTCTAACACCCTGTAGTCTACCACACGCTGTAGTCTAACACTGTGTAGTCTAACAAACTGTAGTCTAGCAGACTGTAGCTTAGTGACCTGTAGTCTAGTGACCTGTAGTCTAACACCCTGTAGTCTAGCACCCTGTAGTCTAGCACCCTGTAGTCTAACACCCTGTAGTCTAACACCCTGTAGTCTAACACCCTGTAGTCTAGTACCCTGTAGTCTAGCACCCTGTAGTCTAACACCCTGTAGTCTAACACCCTGTAGTCTAGTGACCTGTAGTCTAGCACCCTGTAGTCTAACACCCTGTAGTCTAACACCATGTAGTCTAACACCATGTAGTCTAACACCCTGTAGTCTAGTGACATGTAGTCTAACACCCAGTAGTCTAGCACACTGTAGTCTAGTGACTTGTAGTCTAGTGACCTTAACTCTAACACCCTGTAGACTAGCGCACTGTAGTCTAGCACACCGAAGTCTTGCACCTTGCAGTCTAGTGACTTGTAGTCTAGTGACCTTTACTCTAACATCCTGTAGTCTAGCACCCTATAGTCAGCATAGCTGGAGTTAATTGAATGTAAAGGCCAGCTCGGCCAGCTTGACTGAGAGTCCATTTAGGCAAATACAATTCCCTCCCAAAATAGTACACTATATAAGTCACCAGGGGCATTGAACAAGTTAAATGGGCCTTGGATTCATTTCAAAGGCTCGCTGCCTGCGCCGCTCGGGTCCTTCAGCTGCAGCACTAGAGCGCAGGCGTCTAAAGAGAAGTCCGAACAAAAGGGAGAGGGGGAAATACAGGGTTTACCTGAGGATAGGAGCACATAGCTTGTTGGCCTGATGTCCATGATTTAGTACAGCTTGCTCACTACACACAAACACACACACACAACCACATTCTATTTCTCTCTCTCTCTCTCTCTCTCTCTCTCTCTCTCTCTCTCTCTCTCTCTCTCTCTCTCTCTCTCTCTCTCTCTCTCTGTCTCTCCTTCTCTGTCACACACACACTCGCACACTCACAAAAACAACTGGGCAAGAGCAGAGAATATCACTAGGATGCTTCTTTGCATGGAAGAACACGTTGCAAAATATGACTTGGACAGTTTCATCATTATGAATTCATTATGGGGCAGATAAAGAGACAGCAGGGAAATGAAGAGTGAAAGCAGAGAGCCTATCAAGAACTCATTTCAAGCAGAGATCCCCAATGCCTTTTTCTTCACTCTGAAAATACTATCCTCTCATTTTTTTAAATGTCTATACTTCTGATCACAATCAAAATGATGTCAATG